ACTTAATATCCTTGGTTTTGCCTCTTGGTGGCAAAATCTAAAATATTTACTCTGCAGACCTTTAGAGAAAATGTTTGTTTACTCCTGTGATGACACTAGTTTAACCTAGCTAACAATGTAAGCCAACTTTATATTTCATTAGAATGTCGAATGCGCAATAGTCCCTCACCTCCTAGACAGAACCTTTGAACCTGGTTTACAAAGCCTATTTTGGCTGCCTTCCTGCCCACTCTTAGCTCCAGGTTAATCTCTTAAGGAATATATACTTTCAGAGTAAGTTGGGAAGATGAGGAAAATGTAAAATATTAGAAGGATGATGACATGTTAGGAGGACAGTTTGGTTAAGGTAAATGAAGAAGCTGTATGGAAGAAAGCTAGTGGATTTGTTTGAGTGGAGGTGGATTAGTTTGGGTATTAGGAGCTGAATATACATATTTAACAGAAACCCATGGCTTTTGTTTGGTTTAATAGGAGCCAACTGTTTAATCTTGAGAGAAGCTAGTAAAGATTTGTGTCATGGAATAGAAAGTCAGCCATAAAATGCTATGCTATTGCAATTGTGTTTTAAGTTTGAGGTGGCAAGAAATACTTTATTTCTTCAATTTATGTTGCAGTAATTTAGACAGAAGTGTCAGGCAACTTTAACCTTTATTCCATTTCGTTATTATCCAGATGTCACAATTAAAATGACATTACAGGAAATTTCACTAAAGAAACAAAGCAGTTGAGATTATTTGTTTGGTGAGCTATTTATAGATATTTAGGACATTGGTTTTCTCTAAGAGTGCTGTAAGTTTTAGATAATGCTAGCCAATGATTTGACATTATATAAAGAGTTATATAAGAAAACCTTCTATTATATATAACAAGTGTTTTAGTCTTTATATCTTTAAATACAATGAAGTTTTCAACAGTTGCTTGAATAATGCATGCAGATGATAAAATTTGCAAAATCTGGGGCCGGCATGGTGGCATAGGTAAAGCCACTGCCTGCAATGCAGGCATTCCTTATGGGCACCAGTTTGTGTCCCAGCTGCTCCACTTCTGATAGTGACTCCCTGATAATGGCTTTGGAAGAGCAACAGAGTATGGCCCAAGTTCTTGGGCTCAAGCACCTACATGGGAGACCTGGATGAATCTCCTGGCTCCTGGCTTCAGCAGTACCCAGCCCTGGCATTTGTGGCCATCTGGGATGTGAACCAGCAGATGGAAGATCTTTCTCTCTGTAACACTGACTTTCAAATAAATAAATCAATCTTTCAAAAAAAAAAGTCTACAAAATCATATGAAATTGTAATAAAGGATGAGTATTCCTTATCCAAAATGCTTGGGACCAGAAATGTTTCAGATTTTGAAATATTTGCATATATACAATGAAGTATCTTGGGAAGAGAATGGAAATCTAAACGCAAAATTCATTTGTGTCATATACATATAGTCTAAAGATAATTTTATACAATATTTTAGCGTATCTGTGTTTTGATTGTAATGTGTTACAGGAGGCCAGTTGTGGAATTTTCTACGTGTTTCATGTTGGTGCTCAAAAAGTTTTTCATTTTGGAGCATTTTTTTTTAATTTTGGAATTTTGGATCAGGGACTAAATCTGTACAGTGAAAAAAAACCAAAGTACTCCTTCCTCCTTTTTGTAGACTACTTCTCTCTATTATTGCTTTCTAGGGTTACTACTTGAAAGAAGCTTATGTGTTTTTCCAGAAATGTGTATCGAGAGTACAAGCATATACATGTACATAAATTGTTTTTAATTTTTTAGAGCATTTTACTGGGGCCAGTGTTGTGGCATAGAAGGTAAAGCTACCACCTGCAGTGCCAGCATCCCATATGGGCACTGGTTCAAGTTCTGGTTGCTCCACTTCTGGTCCAACTCCCTGCTAATGTGCCTCGGAAAGCAGAGGAAGATGGTCCAGTCCTTGGGCCCCTGCACCTACGTGAGGGACCCAGATGAAGCTCCTGGGTCCTGACTTCAGCCTAGCCTAGCCCCAGCTGTTGAAGGCATTTGGGGAGTGAACCAGCAGATGGAAGACCTTTCTCTCTCTATCTTTCCCTCTTTATAACTCTGCCTTTCAAATAAATAAAGCGTCTCTTAAAAAAACCATTTTATTTCAGAATAGCTTCCTGTTTACAAAACAAAACTTATGATGTAGTAACACAGAGTTCCCATACACCCCTCACCCTATTTCCTCCATAAACATCTCATATTAGTGTCTTTGTCAAAATTAATAGTTTTCTTGATGTAAATGTGATTAGTCTATGCATACTCTTTGCATTATCCTCTATTCTTAACCTGTTTGAAACCTTCCTAATGGTGTATTGCTTGCATGTAACATAATTTAATTTAGCTAGTTACTAGTGGATATTTAGGTTATTTCCAGTTTTTTTTTCCTATTGGAAGAGATGAATCCAGGTTTTGTCAGATCTGAGGCTTATAAAACTGGGAAGCACCTTTAAGAACAACTATACAAAATTACAGAATTAAGTATAGAATCTTGGAAGGAATCATGCAAGTGAGGTGTCTGAAGGTTTGGTGTCACAGTCATCATGATGCATTCATCTTTGCTTGTTAGATTCTATACAGTTCTTTAGTAAACATCCTTGTGCTTACATATTTGTGTACTTGTGGAAGTACACAAGTATTCTACGAGATGGAATTACTAAAACAGAGCATATTAGTTGTTGAGACCATGGACTCAGGATATAAGGTGCTAATAATACTGGCTGTTCCACTTTGAGCTCTGTGACTTTGGACTAGATGCTAATCTCTTTGTGACATAGTTCCTCATAGATAAATGGATGTAATCATAATATTATTGTAAAAATGCATGCATTTAAAAGCCTTTTGTTTTTAAAGATTTATTTATTTACTTGAGAGGCAGAGTTACAGACAGAGAGAGGAAGAAACAGAAAGGTCTTCCATCTGCTGGTTCATTCCCCAAATGGCTGCAACTGCTGGAGCGGAGCCAAACCAAAGCCAGGAGACAAGAGCTTCTTCCTATTCTCCCATGTAGGTGTAGGGTCCCAAGTAGTTGGACCATTTTCTATAGCTTTCCTAGACCATCAACAGGGAGCTGGATTGGAAGTGGAGCAGCCGGATTGGTGCCTGTATGGGATGCCTGCAGCGTAGGCAGGTGCTTAAGATACTACAACACGGCGTCAGCCCCAAAGCCTATTTTTAAAGTATTTAAAACTGAGCTTGGCCCTCAGTAAATGTTAAAGATTATGTTATTTTGTGAAATTTTTTTGATAGGGTCGTTTTATGACATTTAAGTAGTTTTTATGATGATACCATGATATTTAATTTTAACAATGTAAGGGATAAAGCCATTTCATTTCTATTTATACATGAAACAGCAGTTACTATAATATTTACAGATGAAAAATAAAATAGTGACATGAGAGTAAATAGCGTTTTGAAATTTGCAAACTCTGTATATACAATTTATTATGTCATCTGTGCATAAACTGTAGTTACTACTATGTTCTCTTTCACTTAATTTACATTCGTCAGGTTTTTAGGGAATAATGGTAAGAAAAGGAAAATATTTTTCCCATGGAATTTTCATTCTTGTGAATCATCTGTCTTTTCTGCTTTGTGTATGTCTAGTAGAATGTCGTTTTCCTGAAGGCAATCTTGTTATCTTGTTTGTTATTGTATCTCTAATGTCTAGAAGAGAATCTGATACACTAAAAATGTGCTTAGTAAACATTTGTTTATATAAAGAATGAAAGGGTTGAGAAGAGAGGTGAATGAAAAAATAACCATGAAGAGAAGACAAAAAAAGTGTGAAACAAAAGTTCTAACAGAGGAGAGGAAAGCAATGAAGAGAAAGAAAACAAATTTTTATTAAATTCAACGTGAATGAGATAGGCATTTATAAACTCATTCAAAATTGATTTTTGCATAATTTCTAGTTTCATAAATTATGTCATCTGTGAGTACATTTTATGTATTAAATTCTCTTCAAATCTGTGTAGAAAATGTTATTAAAAGAGTTCCCTGGGGGCCGGCATTGTGGCATAGCAGGTTAAACCTCTGCCTGTGATGCCAGCAACCCATATGAGTGCCAATTCAAGTCCCGGCTTCTCGACTTCCAATCCCGCTCCCAGATAATGGCCTGGGAAAAGCAGCAGCAGATGGCCCAAGTGGTTGGGCCCCTGCACCCGCGTGGTGCACCTGGAAGAAGCTCTCCAGGTTCCTGGCTTCTGACTGGCCCAACCTGGCCTTTGCTGCTGCCATTTGGAGAGTGAAGATTCTCTCTCTCTCTCTCTCTCTAACTCTGCTATTCAAATAAATAAAGTAAATCTTTTTTAAAAAAGATTTCTCTGAAGATATAACATATGCAAATATACTTGATCCAGTCAAAAGGCTGAGAAGTGATAACATAGGCAAATAATACTAATTTCCATTTTACTGAATGTCTGCCGAGTATGGTCATTCTATACATTTATTTCATTTGATGATTAAAAGAATAGTATGAGGCAAATGTTACTGTATTGAAATTACACATGAGAAAATAGATTAAATGAACTTAAGAATTTGCAGGAGTCTCAGAGAAAAAAATGGCAAGGTCAAAATATATGTACATTTTTCTCTGAAAACAAAAGGCCTGATCTTTTCTCTATAAACTCTTACTGGGAAACGGCAGATATTCATTTACTTTAGTACTCTTTTCCCTTCTTTCTGTTTCTGTATTTTCTTTTGATTAACGAAGACTCTTAGACCACTATCCAAGAATAGCTACTGTGATGTTTAAAGTGTTCTTTTCTGTTCTATTCAATAAGGGAGCCATTAGCTATGTCTTTTGCTTTAGCATTTGAAACGTTGCTAATACAATCAAAGAACTGAATTTTTACTTTAATCTAGCTAATTACATATAACTACTGTTTGGGCCATTGCAGCCTTAGGTGTTTGAATGCTTTTTGCTATGTGTACAGTCAATATAATTAGCATGTTGATTGATAATGAGAAAATTGTTCATTCTAGGTTGAAAACTTTAGCAGAAGATCTAATGCAGACCCAGCAGATGCTTTTAAACAAGGAGGAGGCTGTCCTGGAGCTAGAAAATAGGATTGAAGAGTCTTCTAAGACATGTGAAAAGAAGTCTGAGTGAGTAAAAAAAAAAAAAAATTTGAACAAAGGAAGTTTAGTTGATGTAATTTTAGAGAAATACTTTAGTTACATGATACCATGTACTATTAATGAAAATGGAAATTTTCATTTTAAGTATAAAACTGTGTAGTTATTTTATGGACTCTAGAAAAGTGATTCTGTGTTTATATAAATATAGTGTACTGATCATATCTTAATGTTTCAAAAATTTGAATTGTTTTCCAAAAATCGTTTGTTAAAAGCTGGCCTTACTCACTTGCATCCTTTCGCCCCAGACTCACCATGAATTCCTGTGTTAAAAAAAGTGGCAGACGATTATTATCTAGAAATTAGCTTCTCTTATGTTAGAGGGAATCAGATAAACAAGGAAAAGAGTAATCTGCTTCACCTATAAAAGTCGCTCTGAGATGTACTGTGTTGTACTGTTGTTTGCCTTGCTGATATTTGGATTTGTAACTGTGTTCTTGGGTCCTCTAGTTTTGCCTTAGTGTATTCTTGTCTTTTGCTTTAAAATTTAAATTTTGCCTAACTTTTAGAATTTCAAATCTGACTTCGGTAATTGCTTCCATCTAACACAGTGGTTGCTGGTTTCTTTAATCTTGACTGGGCCTTTTTTTTTTTTTTTTAGGATTTATTTATTTATTTGAAAGTTAGAGTCACACAGAGAATGAGAGGCAGAGAGGCGTCTTCCACCCGCTGGTTCACTCCCAATTGGTTGCAATGGCTGGAGCTGAGCCGATCCTAAGCTAGGAGCCAGCAGTGTCTTCTGGGTATCCCATATGGGTGGAGGGGCCCAAGGGCTTGGTCCATCTTCCACTGCTTTCCCAGGCCATAGCAGAGAGCTAGATTGGAAGTGGAGCAGCTGGGAGTTGAACTGATGCCCATATGGGGTGCCAGCACTGTAGGCGGCAGCTTTACCCTCCACACCACAGCACCCGCCCCTTGACTGGGCCTTGTACATTTTTTGGTATCGTCCTGTTACAACTGGCTTGATTTATGAAGACTCTCAAGGAATTTGTGATATGATATATTTCTCTGTTCTTAATGTTTGTACTTTGCAAAAATTCTCCACTTTTCCCAAATCTCTGACTCTTTTATCTTTATCATTATAGTTAGCAGGTTGTCTTCTACATTGCAGATAAAACTAAAACATTAAGTGAGAGCTCCTGTATTTTCTGGAACTATATCTATAGTTCTATATCCTCTACATTTGTACCATTATCTTTCTTTCTTTTTCTTTTTTTGACAGGCAGAGTGGACAGTGAGAGAGAGAGAGAGAGACAAAGAGAAAGGTCTTCCTTTACTGTTGGTTCACCCTCCAATGGCCGCTGCAGCTGACATGCTGTGGCCGGTGCACCACACTGATCCGAAGCCAGGAGCCAGGTGCTTCTCCTGGTCTCCCATGCAGGTGCAGGGCCCAGGCACTTGGGCCCGCCTCCACTGCACTCCCGGGCCATAGCAGAGAGCTGGACTGGAAGAGGAGCAACCAGGACAGAATCTGGTGCCCCGACTGGGACTAGAACCCGGTGTGCCGGCGCCGCAAGGCGGAGGATTAGCCTATTGAGCCGCGGCACCGGCCTGTACCATTATCTTTCCTTATTTCAATAGACTGTTTCCTTGTTCTAAGACTATTTCCTGTGCCTTTTTTGTTATAACTCATCATCTCTTATTTTCTCAGAAAATTTGTATTATATTGTGTATTATGTTTACCTTTTCTTATCAATAAGATTCTTGCACTCAATTTAAAAATATATTTGACTTCTAGTAACAATCACTATCTCCCTGTACACCCTCTAAAGCCCCTTTTTTAATTTCCGTATTTTTCTCCACCTACTTTCTTTGACTTCTGCTATCTTAGTATAAACGTATTTTAACAGTGATTATTGGGGCCGACGCTGTGGCGTAGCAAGTAAAGCTGTCGCCTGCAGTGCTGGTATCCCATGTAGGTGCCGGTTCGAGGCCCAGCTGCTCTGCTTCTGATCCATCTCTCTGCTATGGCCTGGGAAAGCAGTAGAAGATGACCCAAGTCCTGGCCCCCTGCATCAGCATGGGAGATCTGAAAGAAGCTCCTGGTTCCTGGCTTTGGATCAGCGCAGCTCCTGCTGTTACGGCCAACTGGGGAGTGACCCAGCGGGTGGAAGACCCCTCTCTCTCTCTCTCTCTCTCTCTCTCTCTCTCTCTCGCTGTCTCTCCTTCTCTATCTGCCTCTCCCCCTCTGTCTATGTAACTCTGACTTTCAAGTAAAATAAACAAATCTTAAAAAAAATGATCATGCTCATTCATTTCCTCAATTCTCAATTTGTTTTCAGTCCACATGATCTGGCTTTTGCCCCATCACAATAGAAATAAGTATCTCTAAGGTCACAAGTGATCTCTTTGTTGGTTCATGTTTCATCTTTTCCCTTGGCCTTTAGAACCCAAGATGCCAGATCTTATTCCTATAATTCTGGACATTCCTTAGCAAATTCATTCTCCTCCAGTCAGCCAATCCATGTAAGTCATGGCCCTATGCTATGTCATTCATTTTCCTAAACTCTTTTCCTAGGTGATTTCCTGAAGATGACCCACATTTGTTACTTTCAGTCAGATTTTTTTCTGAACTCTGAGGCCATGTCAGTTACCTACCTAATATGTATTAGAAGTATCCTAATGTATTAGAAGTATCCTAAATTCCCCAAGTACAAGACTGACTTAAATCTCCCCAGCACAATGACCCAACACAACTCAACCTAATATAGTTCAGTCTTAGTATTTTTTTTACTATCTGTTCTTTCTGTTTAAAGATTTGTTTCTTTATTTCTTTTTAAAAATTAATTTATTTATTTGAAAGTCAGAGTTACACAGAGAGAGGAGAGGCAGAGACAGAGAGAGAGAGAAAAGTCTTCCATCTTCTGGTTCACTCTCCAGTTGGCTGCAATGGCTGGAGCTGTGCCAATCTGAAGCCAGGAGCCAGGAGCTTCTTCCAAGTCTCCCATGCTAGTGCAGGGGCCCAAGCACTTGGGCCATCCTCCACTGCCTTCCTGGGCCACAGCAGAGAGCTGGACTGGAAGAGGAGCAACCGAACTATAACCTGGTGCCCATTTGTGATGCTGGTGCCGCAGGCGGAGGAGAGAGCCATGGCGCCGGCCTGGGATCCCTTGTTTAAAGACAGTCATTCCATTTACGAATGCTCCACTCCCATGATCCAATCACCTCTCTAAACCCTGCCTCCTAATGCCATCACCTTGGGAGTTAGGATTTCAGCATATGGATTTTACCAGCATGTATTCATCCAGTCCATGGAAATATCACATTGGAATCAGTGAGTTTTTTGAAGGTGATATCAGGAAAATTTAAGTTACTCTAGTCGTTTCCTTAATCTGGAAGTGTTTAGTATTGTGACATCAGATAATTCTCCTTGAATTCTAAAGGAATTATCAACTGTTGATAATTAAGATTTATATTTTCCTTTTCTCAATTCACAAATGTGTTACTTTCTTCTTTACAAATGACCAGATAGCTCTACTTAGAGTTATGTTGACTTCTCTCACCAGGATATCTGACTATATATTTTCAGAGGAGATGATCTTTAAGGGTTTTCCTAGTCTAGAAGTTAGGAGATTCTTTGATTTTTTAAAAAAGATTTATTTATTTAATTTATTTGAAAGTGTTACAGAGAGGAAAACACACACACACACACACACACACACATAGATAAGAGAGAGAGAGAGAGAGAGAGGTCTTCCATTGCTGGTTTACTCTCCAAATGGCTGCAGTGGCTGGGGCTGGGCGAAGCCAAAGCTAGGAGCCAAGAGCTTCATCCAGGTCTCCCACGTGCATGCAGCAACCCATGTGCTTGGGCCATCTTCCATTGCACATTAGCAGGGAACTGGGTTGGAAGTGGAGAAGTTGGGACTGGAACCGACACCCAAATGGGATGCCAGCTCTGCAGACAGTGGCTTAACCTACTGTACCACAGTTCTACTCCCCTTTGATTTTTTAAAAGTCTTTTATTTATTTATTTATTTGAAAGTCAGAGTTACAGAGAGAGAGAGATTAGGAGAGACAGAGAGACATCTTCCATCACCTGGTTCACTTCCCCAAATGCTTGTCGAAGCCAGGAGTCAGGAGCCAGGATCTCCATCCAGATCTTCCACAGAGGTGGTAGGGGCAGAAGCCCTTGGGCCATCTTCCAGTGCCTTCCCAGGCACATTAGCAGGGAACTAGATTGGAAGTGGATCGGGTGGAACTCTAACCAGCACCCATAGGGGATGCTGACATTGTAGGCAGTGGCTTAATCTGCTTTACACATTGCCAAACCCCTGAATTTTGTTTTTAAGTAAATTTGGGCTCAAGTCTTTACTTCTCTTTAGATCTGCATATGACCTATGTTCTTATACCTATCAGGAGATGAGAATGGGAGTAAAGGGGAGAGGATGTGAAGGGTGTTGAGGCCTCTAACAACCATCCTCAACAAAATACTAGTCAATGGAATCCAACGACATATCAGAAAACTCATTCTCCCAGGCAAAGTGGGATTCATCCTTGATATGCAGGGATGGTTCAATGTTCACAAATCAATCAATGTGATACAGCACATTAACAAAAAGCAGAAGAAAAACCATATGCTTATCTCAATAGATGCAGAGAAAGCATTTGATAAAATACAACACCCTTTCATGATGAAAACTTTAAGCAAATTGGGATAGAAGGAACATTCCTCAACACAATCAAGGCAATTTATGACAAACCCTTGGCCACCATCCTATTGAATAGGGAAATGTTGAAAGCATTCCCACTAAGATCTGGAACAAGACAAAGATGTCCACTCTCACCATTGCTATTCTATATAGTCCTAGAAGTTTTAACCAGAGCCACTAGGCAAGGAAAAGAAATCAAAGGGATACAAATTAGGAAGGAGGAAGTTAAACTATCCCTATTTGCAGATCATGATTATTTTTATATATATATATATATATATATATATATATTTCAGATCCAAAAGTCTCCACTATGAA